CAAACGCTATAAAAGCCATAATAACTAACTTCATATTGAAAATTGCGTCAATACCGAAATGTCGCGTGGCCGCCGCTCACACGCCGCGCTTGGCAACACGGTAAGCAATTAGTAAGTAGTAATTGAAAGATCTTTCTTGACGAGCCTCTAAACTCGTTGAAAATACATTGATAATATGCACGAAGGGGGCTGTCATTGGTTGTGCGTAGGGCAATGTTAATACCCGTGCAATGCCGGTTACCATAAATCCCCTCCAACGAACTCAAAATAAAATAAAATAAAATATTTTCCATTATCAACATACAACGCCAACTAACGAAATCGATTGATTTTGATTTTGAGATTTTACCTCTATGTATTCGCAAAGTTGCTAATTACGAAGTCTTTAAGATGATGTTAAAAAAATATATAGTCGAACAAAACCGTATGTAAATTATTATTATTTAAGCCACTTGCGTATATGTATACGTAGTTTCTAAGTCTTTTGGTTATGTAAATCTCATTGTAAATGCAATTAAGCTTATGAGAAATAAAGTGTTTCTATAAACCTAAAGTAAAACTAGGATTTAAGTCATATAAACGGATGATTTTCATTTTAATTATTGTAAACAATTTTTGTCTATAAGGATATGATTGACGTATGAATATTAATTAAAATGTTTGTTATTTCCCTGCCAAGCTAACGAAAAATGCATTATAATACATTTTGTCCTATTTATTATATTCTCTATACAATTCCTCACTTGGTAACGCCTCCGCGTTGACACGCCGAGCGCCTACGCGAGAAAACATTCGGTTAGTATTGACGGCCCCCGGCCCACAATGCTTTAAAATAATTTAAACTTTTGTAACATTAGAATGATATTTATATAATAAATATTAATAATACAAACACTACGTATACTATGTACGTATAATAAAAACTACAAACGATTGTTTATATCGACAAAAGATTCTAACATATCCATATAAAAACTATTACATTGAATAAACACTAAGATTTCAAAATCAAAAACGTATCTACGGAGACAACAGTTAGTCAAAAAATTATAGTATGGAGTGATGGATATTTGCCTAAGAACTGAATCGCAAAAGTAACTGAAGAGAGCTTAGTGAAAGTTATCCGAAGCAACAGGCACAATCAACAAGTTGTTCTCACACCAGATTACCGGCTAAACTTTCCTTCTCGAAACACGCAGTCCGCTCCAAAATTCTTTAAAAACGTTTTGCGTGGAAATTTCCGGAACGCGAATAATCGAAATGCTACGTTAAATGGGGACAGGTGTTGTGTCTAGCACACTTGCATCCGAACTGCATACCCTTTACCTAGGCTAGACAATAGCTCACAAAGGGTTCCTGGGCTATTTAGGGCATATGCGCCGTACTTCGAACATTTCTGATCTATCGAGAAGACAAAGGGAAAAACCAAAATGGTAATATCTGAACCTAATTACGGGATATTTGGTAAAATTCATCGAGTCAGAATTTAATAAAAAGATCGTCACATGACCGCCGGTCTTCTTTCACTAAACTTCGTAATCGTCTGTCTGCAGGACTTCCGAGTTTGGCGCGCGTATTTTTCTAAAAATATATAATCGTCGCGAATAAAATTGTGTTTAATAGGGATTGTATGTTATGTCATGTTCTTTATTAAAAATTGTTTAAAACACCTCGTAAGTAGGTCACGTAGACGGCCAGAGCGCAGGTCCAGAGGAGCCGCTGCGCGCGCAAGCACGTCACTAAAGTCGACGCCATCATAGAACCGCAGTGCGTAGTTAATACGCCGCCACCTAAACGTGAATCCTGGTGAGTCGCTCACCGCGTTCCAGTCGTGATCAGTGCTTCATTTGGAGTGTTAGTTCTAGTTAGGGCATGCATGCTTCTGTGACTTCCGCTATATCCCTTCCTTTCGTCTGTGAGATTGTTTCAGATGTGTTAGGTCAGAATGGAGCCGCAGGGCCGAGAGAGTATGATGTCGAGGAGTGAGTCCTCGGTGAGCAGGTGCACCCCTCACACGCCGTTGGGGCCGCTGGACAGCGTCAGCGTTGACTCCAATCCAATGCCTACCATATACCGGTAACCAGCCTCGCGTAGGGCAGATGCTAGCACGTACTGCCCCTCGATTTAACCCTGCGAATGCTCTGTCAATCGATGGGCAAGACGTGGTCTTCGCTCAGCAAAGCACCTCCTCCGCGTCACATTGCTGTCACAGCGGGCATGAATCGGCGCATTTCTGGAGTACAAGGTTACTGAGAAATCGATACGCTACCGTCTGATTGCCGGCTTATGTAATGCCAACATGACAACAAGTAGAACGGTCGTTCTCGAGCAGTCCTGGCTCAGCTATGGTCAGCTCACTTTATAATCAAAGATTGTCACGAAGGGCGGATTGGCAAATGGGAATATGCGCTTTGGTTTGACAAATTTTATTTTAACTATCTGTTCTATATCTATTAACTATCAGTCAAAGAAGTATGTTCTTTGACTGCTCATAAAAATCTCTGGCACAAACGTTCTCTGTATGTGTGACAATACCAGACCCATTTCAATGGACATCAAGATACCTTCAAAGCGATAGAAAAAAAAGTTCTTCCCGTGTTAATCAAATTTTGGCAGAAAAGGAAAGAATTAATTTAGACTACGTCATTATATCTAGTGTTAATTCTAACATTTTTAACGATTTAAATGCGAAACTTATAGTAATAAGTAGTTAAGAGTAAGATATGTATTTTGATTTTGAATCGTTAAGAGCGTTTTACATAAATGTGTTTTAGTCGTGTTAACCACAGACAATAGTTAAAGGTCACTGTAAAAATAATATTCGGGCAACATGCTTGCTATCAGACAGTAGCGCTGCTTGGCTTTTCATGTCAAGGCAGACCACAAGGTAAGTCTCAAGTCAAATCATCTAGGAGACGTTTTTGCCTTTGTATGTATACGTGAGTATACAGTAAGCAAAACCGGTGAAATCGGTTGATACCGTTGCCATTCGTAAACAGGCAATGAGTAAAAACGACAAATTCTCCTACCTGTTTTGTCTGTACCATCATAATTCAAAAACCCTTCTTCCTTACCTGCCTTTTCTGTACCTTCACCTGTGCTTTTAGATGTAGCTAGAACACTGATTAAAACAATTTTACGTCCATTATTGCGATAGAGGTAGTTTTGAATGAAATTACATAGCTAGTAATTTATGCATTAAAACCATACAATTTCATTTCGCTTCCTTACTATTGAACCCCGTAGGACATAAATGTAATTTAATGAAACTTTGAGATTATAATTCATTCGCGTTATACAATAGTGCCGTATCGTTTGTCAATTTAAAAGTGGAATATATTTTTTACAATATCTGTACTAATATAATATAAAGCTGAAGAGTTTGTTTGAACGCGCTAATCTCAACGCAACTACGGGTTTGAATTGAAATTTTTTTGTTGGTTCGAGCATTTATCGAGGAAGGATATAGGCTATAAAACATTGCCCTGTTACTTATAGAAGCGAAGATACAGCAAAAAATGTGAAAAAAATTGGGAATATTATTCATCATTATGGGTTTCCGAGGCGTACGCTGCAAAAATGGTTCAAGATACCCAAAACATTCGTATGAAAGAATGATTCCTCTATAAAATATCTAAAAAAAGTCCACGACGCTATATATCTATGTTTTATGATTAACTGGCATGAAACACGGGAAGGGACGCGTCCGACGTTTATAAGGATTGCAAAAACGAGTTTGGATGCCCCAAAATATCGTTTCTCGCGGACGAAGTCGCTGGCACAGCTAGTAGTCTATATGACTGATAGGTGTATTCCTTGTCATTAATTTTCATTAAGAATTTATTACTAAAATGAGTTTTATCGTTTGTAGGCATGTTAATTATCGTGGACCCACAAAACAATTGCTAATACTTATATGGTTTCGGGTCACGATTAAATAAGTTTAATTTTCCTAATAACTTTAATGTATATCAGCTGGGAAGTGGACATTGCAAAGATAGTGACTATAATAACCGTTTTCTATAATACATATTTAATGGGGAAATAAAACAAGCGCCTTATATTATTTAGCGGTGAGAAAAAGTCCTGTAGTATTGCTTATCAAGTTTTAATCTTAGTATTTCTTATCAGTTGAATTTTGTTATTAGTTTAAGGTTAGAATGTAGTGAGTACAATGTTGTATTGTAGAAGTAAAAATTGATATAGTAATTACGTTACTTTCGTAAAATTTGCTCTTTAATAAATTGTTAGGCTAACTAAACAGTCGGGTGCAAGACAGATGGCTTATTTCGAATTTTAAAAACGGTTATAAATCGGTAAACATTATCTGCCTCCGACTGTACTACATATTTATGTTGTTTAGTATTCGTATTTTTATGATTAAACTTATCTTTTAGTAGATAGGTACAAACATTGTATGAAATGGGTAGTATCTTTATCGTTTTTGGTGTAGGATTCCCAATTAGGAAATTTTGCACTGCCTGTATATTTTCCATGATTATATTATAGCATAATGAAGCATTGATGTAACTGTTTTTATATATTAAAGTACTACTATAGTAGGACTATATAAAAAGAGAGATTAAAATATAATATACCACATTTTTTACCTGGAAGCATACCAAAGGTAACTGACATTATAATAATATTATGGTCATGAAACAAACATTTACTACGGTTTGAAACTTGAAATATATCGATTGTTATAATAAAGTAATATATATCCTGTTTTAACCGATGAACTTGTTTTATTCAAACAATAACTACTCGCGTGAACTACAGACAATACTTTATATCGATGTAGAAAATAATATATTTCCTACATCGATATAAAGTATTGTCTGTAAAGTATACATGCTGTCAAAGCTAGTAAAAATGTACACTTGTAGACTCGGTACTTATAAATGCGTTGCAACGATATAGTAAAAAAATACTACCCACAATATAAAAATACGACTTCCTAGTATGTATAATAATTATACTATTCTGATTTTACTTAGGTGTCGTGCCCCTATAGCGTCATTAGACTGCATGGACGATTTTAGTACCCATTCTGGACTACACGTCCTTCAACCAGGTATAGTCTTTTCTATTTACACTGTTTCTTCAAACAGTCAATACTAAGTAGATATATATGACTTAAGAGGTCGATTTAGACTAGAGATGCACAGACTTATTAAGACTAGGGGCCACTCGGGCATATCATGAACTATAGGTATGGGTGATTAAAGACAAATAAGAATTGATTCAATCTATTAAATTGAAAAAAAATATTAATTTGAATATTATTTTTGCTCTCGGCGGGCCACGAGTATCCGACGGGTGGGCTGCGGTCAGTGCATCTCTGATTTAAATATTTGTTACTCCTTTTGCGCTTTACCTAAATCTTTAGGCGTAAACAAAATTTCAAAGCTAATTCCACGATCTATCTTCAATGAATCGATTTTACACGTATTTTTGAGCCTTTAATAAGCAAATTCATTTTAATTAATGTAACAGTTGGATACAACATGTCCCGCCATGCCTCCGTGTACATGGGAAACCACGCAAGCATGCCATCATCCGTTACACCTGGTCTCCGTTACAAGAACTTGGGTAAATCTGGCCTCCGTGTGCCGAACATTGGCCTCGGTTTATGGACAATGCTGAATGAAGACGTTGCTGAGGATCTGATAATGACGGCTCTTGAGAACGGCATCAATTTGTTTGACCTCTCCGAAGCTCATTACGGTAGGTGAAGAACTTTTGAAGACATGTCAACGATCAAAGTAATTCACGTAATATTTTATTTATTTACTTACAAAAGAAATGGTAAAAGCTACTAGTATTATTTATCGTATAGACAAAATATGATAACTGTTTTATTTATTTTTTCACTTCTTCAGTTAAAAAGATTAATTAAGTTTTTTTTATGTGAGTAAAGGAGACGTAAAGTATGATAATGCATTTAAAAATAATTTGTCTGAATGTGAAATCTTGATTCCTCTCGCGGGGCATGGGGCTAACATATTCTGGACCCAGCCCGACCGAAGCGATCTGTTGGTTCTCCGGCATTCGAACCTCTCGCGCTCAACACGTTTAACCATTACAGTATGTAGCTACAGAAGCGGTCTATTTTATATAATTGTGTTTCATAGATCTTAGTGTATTATATCATAATTTATATATTTATTTGTATTTCTATACTATATACTATTGAGAAAGTGTGTGCTTTTATGTGTTATATTATTATATTGTTAAAATCAATAAAGTTATAAGAATATAGTAAATTTACAACAGAATCTTTTCAGCGAAAGGTGAAACAGAGTTGGGTAGAATACTGAAAAAGCGAAACGTCAGACGATCAAGTGTGATCATAACCACGAAGATATATTGGAGTACAAAGTGAGTCCCAAGTCCCAACTGAATGTAATAGTCTTTGTTGCCGTAGTGTCGCATATCAAAGAACAGACAAACGACCTTTGACAGTTTTAAAAATGGTCTAAATTGTAGGGTACCTCAGGTTTGTTTTGACATTTTTTTTTCCACAGATCCGACGAAAGAGGTCAATCTCGCAAGCATATTATCGAAACTGTAAAGTCTTCTCTGGCGAGACTTCAGCTGGAATATATAGATGTCGTATTATTGCATAAAGTGGACCACGTCTGTCCAATGGAAGGTAACCTTTACAGCAATAATATTATTAGCTGTGTCAGCGACTTCGTCCGCGTAGAAATTATTTTTGGCATCGAAATTTATTTCATTTAAGTCAAAAAAATTGGACATTTTTTATACCATTTAAAGAGGACTTTCTTTCATACTATTTTTGTGTACCTTCCGCTGTTTCTTCACCTCTATTAGCCAGAGCGTGATGTTTTATGACCCACAGTCTTTCTCGATAAATGCTCTAAAACTTTTTTTTTTAATTTGAACCCTTAGTCCCTGAAATGAGTGCGTTCAAACGAACAGACAAACTTTTTAGCTTATTTGTATAGATATACATTTTATCGGTTTCAAATTAGATTACTTTAGTAAATTTCGTAATATGTACCACTCGTACAGACAGACAACAGTTTCTATAGTTTTAGGTACTTAATATTTGTAAAAACAAAAAGTATATGTTACTTATATATAATATGTTTTGGGAATTGGCGATTTACTAGACTTTCGTGTGCTTTTATTTCTGCTGCGCGCCGCCTTATAAACTTTGACTACTACTCTACTACCCTGCTACCTACTTCTTTCAGACTTCAGTCATATTTAAACTATCTTAAGCTCTGAAGCAGTGAAGCGTATCCGTAAACGTCGTTTTGTTTTTTCTAAACAATTGGTAATGCATTAATTTCGACTAAATTTGACAACTTATAGAGAGATGATAGAAAAGAATGATCATTCTTTTCTATATGATTCGTAGTTTCTTGGCCCGTGATCTCACTCAATGGAAGCCCTCAAATATGAACCAAAATTCAAATATGACAAAAGAACAAAATTTTACCTGTTTTTTACATTTTAAACTGTTTCTTCGCGCTTATGGTTCGTAGCGTAATGTTATATATCCTAAAGCATTCCTCCATAAATGTTCTATCCGACACAAATAGTTTATAACTTAAGTGCAGATATTAAGTTCGAAGCCATGCTATGCGAAGTCTTATGTATCTATGTATTTGCTGTAATTTAAGAGTAATTAAATATTTTTTAGAACTGGTGCGGGCCATGAACTATCTCGTTAATCAGGGTTACGTGATGTACTGGGGAACTGCGCGTTGGACCCCCTCTGAGGTACGGCATCTAGACAATTTTAACTACAAAAGTTACAAACGAATTTCGATGTTTTTTTAGTTATCTAAAGCGTATTCTTGGTTTAAAAATTACTGACTTAAACTTTTGGTTAAATAAGTATAATTACGTTATTTCTTACACTATGGTTTATATATTCCGAATGCTAGGAACCAAAATAGATTGTATATTATAGATGTATATTAAAGTTAATAATGATTGAGGTATTTTACAAGTCTTCTTGCCCCGACTGACTAAACCTTTGGACCTATTGCTAAAACATCGAGACAATATTGTAATATATGAATGAGAAGAGACACATTTTTTTATAAGCCTTAGTTAATTCGTAGATAATGGACGCCTACTCAAAATGCAGAGCCTTCAACTGCTGCACACCTGTAGTGGAACAGACTGAGTACCACATGTTCTGCAGAGACAAAGCAGAACTTTACATGCCGGAGCTGTATCACAAAATTGGAGTCGGTGAGTGTCCAGAACAAAGCTTTATGCTTAGAAGCACGCAAACGACCACAACTTTTACAATTAAAACTTATCCTACAAACATTTAATACTGTCTATAGTTTACGCGAGTAGTACACATTTAAATAAAACACTTTAACGGTTTAAAACGTGATATATTAGTCAGGCCGAAGTTAAAAATCATTTCCATATAAGTTTAACTAATATATCGCGTTTTAAACCGTTAAAGTGTTTTATTTAAAAAATTAATTATAAATAAATACACCAATATGCCCCTGAAAGCTATCAGCTATGTTGACTATTGTCCAAACAATGATATACTGTGGTTCCTTGAGGCCCCCCCCTAAACGCAAGCGAGAAAGTACAAACTATATTTTCACTTAGGTTTCTACATATGCAAGTGCATATGTCTCAATTTATGAACAAACATTTGAAAAATTACTTACATTTTGCACTGCATCATTACACAGTTTTTTTGCATCTGACGTTATAAAATATGGTGCCCCTGCATGACTAGTATTTCGTAATCACATGTGTGCTATAGTTACTGCCTTGTTAGTAGTACTTAGTGCTCTCGACTGTAATCACGAGGTTCCGGGTTCGAACACGGAGTCAAAATGTTAGTTCGATATTGTATTAGCGAAATCATCACTATCTATCGTAGTAGCTGTAGTAATGTAGTTATTTTTCTAAGAAATGCGGTCTAAGTTTCTCATGTTTTAGGTACAATGGTGTGGTCTGCTATAACCACTGGGAAGGGTTTGAACCACGAGGAAACAACTAGTCTCTTTGCCAAGTCGCGTTTTAACCGGAAGTACAGCACTTTTAGTTGGTGTGAAGAGGACCCAGTGACAGTCGATGTACGTTAACTATTAGTGATTTACTGTTAGACTGTAAACTATCTAGAAAGTTCGTCACTGTGAAATTGATCCGGACACATTGTTTACAATTAAGCTATCATGTTACTTTTAAATGAGTAAAGCTAAGCTGACATCTAAGCTATATTGCTGATAAATTATATTAGGAGGTGGACAACAAGGACACTTCGGCCACAGAAGAGTTGAGAACATATAAGGATAAGTTGCGGGCGTTATCTAACCTAGCCAACAATCTCAGTAAGTGATTCAACCGATTAAAACACAATATTTAGTTATGTTATTCCTTGCACACGTACGTAGCACTGCGTTAATAAACTGTTATTGATCAGTCAGAAAAGGTGTTTTTGGATTGCTTTAAGCAAGTGAAGGTCTAGGTTTGAATCTCGTAAAACACTGTATTAAAATTAAATTATTTTGTATGTCGATTGACTTTATTAAATCATATACGCGACTTAATAAAAAGATATAACTCCACATTTAATTATTTATTTTTAATTATTAATTATTCCCAATAGATTGCACGATACGACAGTTAGCAGTAGCCTGGTGTCTTAAGAACGAAAATGTCAACTGCTTGTTACTTGGAGCTACCAGTGTGGAGCAGTTCAAAGAAAACATACACGCGTTACAGGTAACGACTGTAAACGAAAATATTAGACATTTATTTTGCGACTTTACAATATACAAGTTCTGCTCGCGACTTCATCCGCGTGGATTAGTTATTATGTCGTCGTTTTATTTAATTTAGCATTTTTATTATACAGATCGTCCCTCAATTGTGCCCCGCTGTAATGGTGGACATTGAAAGGATATTAGCAAACAAGCCTCAACGGCCACCTATGATATCTACATTAGCTATGAGAAACCAACAGAACAACGCAAACCGAACCGATGCTGCGTAAGTATTAATTAATCAGTAACCGGTCCCACGGCTGGGACTACTCATACAAAAATATATCGTAGTCAGAACTAGTATCGTGTGCTTAAAAACAGTTTAGAAATTAATTTGTATTAAGACACTGCACGGTTTCAATTATTAGTAAAAATAAAGAAAAGAAGACTTGTTTAGATTCTAGATCGCTAAAGTTACCTTCCTTCAAGTTAATCTCATGCTTGTTTCTCTTCCAATAACAGAGAGAAATGTTTAACAAATACTCATTATATACTGTCTATAGTTTACGCGAGTAGTACACATTTCAATAAAACACTTTAACGGTTTAAAACGCGATACCAGTCTCGCCGTGTCCACGGCTGCTGCAAAGCATCCGAAGTTAAATCATTTTCAAATAAATTTAACTAATATATCGCGTTTTAAACCGTTAATGTACTTTATTTAAACACTCATTATTCTACCTATTACAGTGTCAAATAAGGTAATAAAATGATGATAATTATGAAATTTGTTAACTATAAAGTTGATAGTCGTTATATATTTCCAATTAATTTTATACGTGCATTAGCCTTTTAGTGGTGCCTCCACATCTGGAGCAGACACTCCGAAGGGTGATGTTGATGTCGAGGCCAACGTAGCCACACCCGAGAAGGAGGGGGACAGCAAAGGTTGTTCGGTTCAATGATCCTGGTGGAAAGGAAGCTCTGACACAGCTTCCAAATCGAGTAAGTCAAAGGTGGGTAAACTTCTATTATTTCTGACAAAAAAATTAAAATCTCATTAAAATGAGAAAGGTATACTTCAAGCTTATAAATATTGTACAGTTATAGTCGGTATTTTAAAAAGCTTCTAACGGTTTAAAATGAGAAATTTATTACTTACCTTATTGCATCGGGAAATTGCATTTTTTCGTTTTTTTATAATTACCCATTTTCTATTTAAGGGAAATAAATAATTTTAGTATAAAATAGTAATAACTCTTCCTTAGGATTATAATTTTACTTCAAAACTTCATTGTGCCCCTAACCAGGGCATTACGGGGCAAGACAGTGCAATGTTATAATAGTTACCCCCTTTTTTTAGATTTATTTGGCTTACGTAAAACAATTTCTTATTTATAATAGGAATCACTGCTAAAGGACTCGAAACCGAAATTCTTCTTAAACAATGCTGGGGAAGTAATCAGGCGCGTGGAACATGATGGAATCACTTCGGACACCGTGGTCTCGGTGTCCTCGTTGAAGGGGAAACAGCCAGCGTCAGGGGGAAGTAAAGTGAAGAAATCCAAGTCCGAATCCTCGCGGTCCCGTTCGGCTTCCCTCCAAAGGTCGTCGTCTGGACAATTATCTGTTTCTCGAGACAGGAAAATGTCGAGGTTTAATTTGGGTTCCCCAGCTGATGTTTAAGCTTATTTTTACGTGGATCCCCAGTATAAGTTTAACGAAAACATTAGAATTTTTGGCTAATGATGAACAAATCATGGGTGGGATTCCCACCAGATCCATCTTTTTTTTCTCATTCTGAAACTACACCGCCACAGTCTTGACATTAAATGATAGGAATATTGAAATACCGTCCGGGTCACAAACCCCCGTTCACAGAAAAAATGCCGTTAAATGTAATCGCGTTATACTGGGATATTCAACTTGCAGTCATACAATGGGTTCCAACAATGGGTTTGTTTGTCGTCCTTTATCATAAACTAAACCACAACGGTTTACATTGATATATTTTTTGAACATTACCCTTTAGCAAATCTAGTACTAGTACATCAATATTTCTTCCTAAGTTTTCGTTAAACTCGTACTAGAATATTCAGTGCCACCAGCCTTTTGTCGGCTTAACAACCACCGCTAAAAATCCTTAATCTCGCTTCGATGACGTTGTTCAGTGCTGACCTAGCTTCCTTGGTGTACGTTAACTATGACATGCTAAATGTTGATAAAATGAGTGCCTTGGTAATGGATATGGGAATGAAGTAATTATTAGAAATTATAGTCGAACTTACTTTTATTCGTTTGTATTATGCTGCGTCCACAAAACCGGAACAAAAGGCTCGTATTGGTTATCGAGATATTAAACGAGATAATTGTTCTTGTAAGGCTGTTTAATGAGACCATTTTTCGCCGTTCAGTAGCTAGTGTGTACGTAGCATTAGTTCGGAATTAGCTATGCGCTCAAAAACCGTCGAGCATTTTCAAAACTGTAATTGACGTAGGATCCCGATACGGAGTGCCAAAATCATTAGTTCTATCGCTTAATAGGAAGTGAGGTGGCGTAGGGATGTGACGACCCCATCGCCCACTGTTCGGATAATCTCTGGACGAGATTCTACTCGTATAGATTATTCTAGTAGTGCAATCAGTCACCCCTAGTGCCGGGGGGCGCGGCGGCACGTGGGTAATACCACTCTCCCATTCAAGACCAACGAAAAAAGCAACTATAGTCTGTAGGGATCTTGAAACCGATGCGGATTATTTGTAAGCTGTCCAACATTTAAAAGCTATAAAACTGCAATCCAAGAAAGAATAGTTACACCTACATTTGATTTATAATTTTGGGGGTAAACAAAGTAAGTTCTTTCCGCATAGTGAAAAACTGCAACATCAGTTATAGAAACAATTACATAACACGGCCTATGTTTATATATAGAAATTTAGTTATTTCAATATATTTTTTCATATTGGTTTAGTTAAGGCAATGAAAATTTGGATATAGGTAGGGTTACTTAGGCTATTTTGCGGGTAAAACCCGTCAGCGCGGCTGCTGTTTAAGATGATTGAGATTAAGATATATAAGCTATTAATTAAATCTAGCAAAATCAACCAAATGATTTTCTTATTCTAAGCAATCAAATTCTACAAGCATCTCAATGTTACTTTTACCAAAAAAAAATGATCAGTTTGACCTATATATTTATTGAGAACGATTTTTTTCTTTTATGTTGTGTAAATAGAGCGATAAATGGTTTTACTTTCCAGTGCAATTGTCGTTTGTGTTAAGCTTTTTAGAATCCAAATAGATTTAGTAACTCTAAGTATAGTAAAAGTAGCATATTTTTTTTTTTGTTTTATTATTATTCTTAATTTACTAACTTCGTAGTTAAGCGCTTTTCTTATCACATAATGCGTTTTGTTTTTCATTAGATAAGGACATCTTCCACTTAGGGAAGAAGCGCCACCTGGCGAAATGTTGCAGAAGCCTTTGATAGTGTAAATATTAAGTAAATAAAGATAAGGTTAAACATATTAAATCATAGTTATAATTAGGGTGTGGTCTTTTCGACTTAGTTATAAACCAACATAGCGTTGGGATAATATCCAAAATATAATACAACCTTATACCATGGTAAAAATAAAACAGTATAATATTTGTTAATGACAAGTAAGATGTACTTATTATTATATTATAGTTTATATACATTTTTTAAATTTATCAACAATTTGTCGCACGTAAATCCTGTTTAATCAGAAATTTAAAATGCTTAATTCTAATTTATTTTAAAATGCTTAAAATCCACAATCGTTGCTGGCGTAGGGATGTGACGACCCCACCGCCCACGGCTGGGATAACCCAAGACGGAGATTATCACAGAAGTGCAAATAGTCAGTCAGTTTAGTGTAGTTTTTAGGGTAGATTAGTTTAAGTAATACCGCGGGAAAGCGCCATTTTGGTGGTTCATGCGATCCCCTTTATTATTGTAAATATTACTTAGGAGATTACTTTAGGTTCTAAATTAGGAAAAAAATTGAGAGACTTTAATAAATCCATTAAAGTCACTTTGATCTTGACATAAAAAGCTAGGCTTGGAATCTGAATCTACGTCAAAAATATAAATATTATTTTATTTGCATAATTAGTAATTGTTTAGACTTCTTCAAAATACATTCAATACAAAATGTTTTATGACAGTATTACTAATCACTGATTTTTTTTATTTTGTTCTAAGAAAACCTTTTTTTTTCGTAATTTTAAAAATATTGGTTTATCCTAAAAATTTAGGCCAAACAATGGCCTAAATTAACCACTCGTCAGATATACATATACGAAGAAAAATCAGTTATCGTGGGTTCGATTTCGAGAGTAGCTTTAATTTTTCACATTTTATTCTTTTGAATACCTACTTAAAATATAGTGAAAAGTAGATAGTTTATTGGGCGCTAAAGCGAATAATATTATACTCGTAGAATAAGTCTAGGTTAGTCTGGCGCAATCGTTTTGATTCCCAGAATCTTCTTAACTGAGTGTCCGCATAAAGTAGATCGTAGGGGTACATTTAAAATGATTCTTATATGATATTTGCACTGATGTTATCGTTTTGTATATTATATATCTTAGGCCAACAATGCGACTAGATAAGCTACGCGATCTAAACCTTTAATTGTAGCGTAATTTAGTATATTTTGAAATAATTGGTTGTTAATTTTTATACACAAAAATATGCGTAATTACATTTTTGAGATTGAAAATATTTTTTTTTTTTTCAAATAACTTACATAATCATTTTCAACGTTGGTACAAAAGGTTTTCTTCGCAGTCGGAAATGTAGTCGTGCTTCTGATTAGTTTAAAGATTGTTTTTGCTGGTTATACTTAAAAAAAAAAAAATCTAAACATCTAAACGCAGCGGAGCGATTCCACGAGATTTAGTTTAGCAAAATATTAACTTAATTAATCTAACGTAGCTTAGCGTAGTAATGATGTAAATGATTTAAAAATATGCAAATTATGTTCTGTATATTAAAAAAATACGTTTTTTTTTTTTTTGGACCACATTTACTTGCTTCAATATGTCTGTATTTTTTCCCATATTTAAACTAAAATATAATTGATTAATCTACAGCAATTAATTGAATTACATCTACACGCCCCGTAATTGATTCCCACTTCTGACTTAGATATAAAATTTCAACACGCGATGTTGCAGTTTAAGACCTTTCCAGCTCGGTTTACCCCCAAAATACAGTAGCTTAAGTAATATAGTTTACGCTAAATTCATAAAAGTTTGTACATACTATTGGTAAAGATGTTAAGGATCCGTGCAAGTTAAGAATAATATAAGGTAGGTAGGACTGAAATCTGCCATTTAATTTGCCTATAGTATTTTCTCAACCTGTCGAAATTAAAATGCGTTCATTATCATCATCTCTTTGCGTTCTCTAAGAGTTTCAGATGGTGCACGATCACGTCCAAAACATTCGACATGTGTTACATTATGAACCATTTATCCATTCTTCTACTAGCGCATATTATAAAGTTAAGCGGACATTGAATCTTCAGTCCATTAGATTCCTTTGAATACTTGTAGGAAGTAATAGTATTAAGATTGTATAGGTCTACAATATTTATTCTGTCCTTTCCTTATTTCACCATAAAGAGCGAGACGCAAATAATCTTCGCTACGGCTCCGACAAGTTTTCATCTCTTTTCTCTCACAATGTATTTTAATAAATTATTTCGTTGTAAGTCACTGAACGTACACAGCGGAAAGCCCTGGGTTCGATTACCGGGCGACAATGATCGCGTACTTCTCGATACAAAATGGTCATAACGTTTTGCTAGTTGTTTATGGTTACTGGTGCTTATAAAGTGGAAGATTTTTTTTAATAATTATAATTCAGTCTCTAAAAGAAACCTTTATATTTCTGATATTTTCTTGATAAGTATTTAAATTGATATTTTTCAATGTCCCTTAAATATAGTTTCAACTGTAATATTTCTACTGCCATATCCTTTGTCTTATAACAATGTTAACTATTACAAATAATAATTTACTTATATGTATATAAATATTTCTGCTAGACTTTATAATTACAATTGCTTCACGTGTATATAAAATGTATTATATTAGATTGTTGAGTATATAAAAGTATTACTAAATACCCAATAGAACAATTACATTTGAGGACAATGTTAAATTAAAAATGAGACATTTTCGCCCAAAATAATTTATTGGTTCTTAACAGAGCTCATACGACGGCATAGTCATTGGGATTCTGTAATAAAATAAGTCGAAATGAGACTAAAATCTCTTATCCAATACTGACATTTGTCTTGGTTCAATGTTACTTAGCAATTATACGATTAGGTATGACTAGGTTCTGTAAAATTACATTTATATTTAGCAGAGGTTGCAAACTTTGAATAAGTTAGTTATGAAATAAGGGAGGTTATAATTAGGTTCTTAGTGTCTGGATAAACAAGATTCTATATCTATATCTTTGCTTAAATTTTAAAGTATTGTATATTTTTATTATGTGGATGTCTTAGGAATATAATAGGTTTACTGGTCGTTGTATATTAAACTAACTGATATATAGATCACCGCTTTCTTTCTTTGTCGTGTATGTTGTAAAAGTCTGATAATATAATAGCTATGTTGTAGGTTACCATATTACGAGCTCGGAGACAGTTTAGATTTTTCATAACTCCGATTATATGATAAATATGCAATATTAATTCTATAAATTGCATATCTTTACTTAATAAGTTATATTTATTTATGCTTTAAGATTACTAACTCAAAAAAAAACAGTTTAATAAATGTTAAGATTAGTAGCAGCTTAACTAATCCGAGATTTGATTTTGTAAACATTGATAATAACATTTGTTTAAGAAAACTTAAGTCTAATAATTAAATAATACATTGTAATTTTGTATTCTTACTATTTAAAATAATTCTAACCATATAAGTGACCGGCCGTCAATTACGAAGTTTAAGTTCGTTGCTATGTTTCGTTTTGTTATAAACTACCTGATGGCATTTTTATTGCAAATGAAAGAGAAAAATAACACTCACCTATGTTTTAAAAACAAAAGACGACAAAATTATTTAAGTTTGAACTAACGCAATATTGCCGTGTTCCCTTGCAAACTCGTTAAAGATAATTATGTAAGTTTTTATTATAAGGTGATGATCTTGGTTTGCATATGCATACGAAGGGGGGTGATAGTGGGGGGACGAGGGGAGGAAATGGTTTTCAGCCATATATTGTCATGGTGAGTAAAACTCATTTGTGGTATCTACTATTAATTTAAAAGCTTTAATTCTACAACGCGCACATTTTTATCAGTACCACGATTATCGCGTTAGTCTTTAAGAATAGTAAATATAAAAAGTACGTGGTTGGATTAATAAAATAAGCATTCACTTATATTCATTTTGACTCTCCAGAACGTACGCAATTATTTTTGTAATCTGAAGTGTCATATAAAGTGTCATCCTAAGTTTCGTAAGCTTTGTTTTTAGCTATTATTGTCCCATTGAGTACAGGTTTGTTCTTTAATAAGCTAACTACCTCCAAAAAATATTTATATTCGATAATGACTGTTTTTCTGGGCGTGGGAGTGGTGTCACCTCCTACTTTCAAACTTCAAAAAAGGAAATAGAATTTAAAAAAATATAATGTACCGAACACTTCACACAACCCAGGGTGAACCCAAGATCTCGTTATCCACTAGACTAACGAAACACAAACTGTGTAAGCTTAAATTGAATTAAATTACGATATTCCTTACTCACAGCGTTTTAGGCATTATGTTACGTCCACTAAATAGCTTTTACACAGATTGTCTGTAGTTAACGCGTGTGTACAGATTATGTAAAACACTTTTTATGGTTTAAAACGCGAATAATTTGTCACCACCGCTACTGTCATGAAATTGAATTCCACAACTATTGCGCGTTTAAAACTGTTAAAAGTGTTTTATTTAATTTCACACAAATTATATTCATATCATATACGATTCATATCACATGTTTAGTGTACACACTAATTTAAAAATTGTAAATAAAATAAATGTGGACCCTTAATTTTTTTTATTGCGATTTTTGTATTATTTTCTATAATAACTTTGTTTACAATAAGAAAACCTCTCCTCTCCATTCTTCCTATCCTCCCCTGTGGTGAAAATATGAAAGGCTTAAGGTACCTCATTTAAAAAATGGATATTGAAAAGGGAGATTAAAACAGATGGCACTTGAACTTACGACCGACCGTGCAATGCCTTTGTTTTGTCACTGAGTTGTCAACACCACAAAGACCTCTGAAACGCTCTTCTCTTTGTTCCAATATTCTAGAAAAACTTTAGATAAATAATAATTGAAACAAACCGCTCTATTCGGTGGAAAACGAACCCCAGGACTCGTCGACCGTATGTGTATGTATGTACGTATACGCAACGGTGTATTAGGTCGGAGCTATGGTCAGCTCCGTCCTGAAAGGAAATGAGAGATTACTTTTTGTTTGCTAACCCCGTTGTTTTAAGTGGATCTAAATGGCCTAGTCCATAGCTTGTCAACTGAGGTTAGTGAAGTTATCTGATTTCTCGTAAATTTCAATTCAAATTAACTATTAGAACAAGAATTTCGAAAATATGTAATATGTGACGTCACTTCTGTTTATAGTTTTGGCAATTGAAAAGTTTCACTTTAAATATTCTAATATTAAACACTGAATCGATATAAGCTAGAAAAAAGGCTGTATTTTCTAATTTGGCGGTCAATTGATCATTATTGTTATTTAATACGTAGTTCATATAACTTCGAGAGGACCACGTTAAAGGATATTTATATATAGTATATATATATATATAGTAATAAGATATGTTAAAATGTTAATTGTATCTCACACTTATCTTAGAATTATTCAGTAAAGATATGTAATTGGTTTTTAATAAATAAATAATTTCTCAACCCCTACCCAATTCAACCATGGTTTTAGGATTCAAAGAAGTAATTTCTTGAACACGTTTCGTTTGTTGAGCCGAATAAACTCCTAGTCATATAACTCAATTGTAGTTCTGCCACGACCGCAAACAGTCATGGATGTTGTATACTTTGACTGGCTGGATTATCTCGTATTCGCCGGGATGCTGGCGATGTCAGCTCTGATCGGGGTCTACTTCGCGTTCTTCGCTAAGAGGAAGCAGAACACGACCTCTGAGTATCTTATGGGAGGGAAGACAATGGGAATGTTTCCTATATCTATGTCTCTAATTGCCAGGTAATGCATGCTTGCATATGCTAGCGATAGATAAAGGAATTTAGATTTAATTTTTAGTAAAGAGAAGTATAGCTCAATATCCTTTAAACACATGTAATTAAAACACACGAACACAACGGTTGCTCCCGAGTGGAGTTTTCTCCTGTTATAGAACACGGTTAAGATGTAGTTAGCTTTTGTTAGTCAGGGCGAGATGGTGTTATTAAAATGTGTTAGGAGAAATTTAAAATAACATTTCACGGAATAGTGCAATAGGTCAATGAATTATAAAAACAACAAAATATTAATAAAGCCTTTATTGCTGTTTGTTTTTACAATAACTTAATACTTGCCTACTTGCTAAAAACTAAAGTAAATTCTAATGTGTATTAAAATGATCGGCAACTGGTTGCATTTGTTGACAAAGACCTTTAAAGAGTACAGGGTAATTTACCAAGGTACTCTAAATTAATCAATAATAACATTCCAGTATTAATACTATTTGGGCGTCGGTGCGAAATTCCATGACCCCACGTTGGCTATGGAGCGAACCCACGTCTATCTCTGTTTTACTGTTGAGTTATTTGCAGACAAGTAGGTAGTTGAAACAGGACCTCTAATCGTAATCCTATTTACTTTTAACCATTGAGCTGCTGCAAGGTCAGAGGACTTAAGTAACTACATTAAGATTTTGAAACATAAATTATACTAAAACAAATACACCAAAATTATAATAAAGTAGAATTAGGATAAAAACCATCTTAAGGCGATTGCGCAGGTGTCATAAGCTAGTAATAAGATAAGACTGATTTTAAACCTGATCACGTCGTGTCAAATAGTCCCGCTGAACAAAAATGTTTCAAGATATTTCAATAAAACATTTGTAAAAAAAAATTTTTAAGGAAATTTTAAAACATTAAAACCCACTCGAGCAACAATTTATTTTTCAAATACAAGCTATTGTTCAAACCCTGTTTTTTTACTTTTAAGATCAGTAACCATTTTATGCTATGCGAGCGAATTATTGAGTATTAAAATGATTTAGTTATAATATCCGTTAAACAGTCGTAGTATTCATTACTTTAAATAAGCCATAAGCAACAGGAATATTTAAAAAGGGCCAATCCTCTCGCACGAAACGCATGGCCATCCTAGATTTGATAAGCATCTGTCGAGGAGACAAAGCACACACGCCCAATGTATGGATGTGAGATGGTGTTGGACTTGAGACACAATCGCACGTATCTATTAGGAGACGTATCCGCGTGGGGACGCACAATTGAAGATCACGTTGCACAATACAGCTACTTAGAAGTTCTCCGATGTCCTAATAATAGATGTGTATTTTTAGATGTTTACCCGGAACTTTACTAATTTATAAACAAGTGTCAAACTCATGGAAGTAATTGGGGGGAGGTCAGCCGAAACCATGTTTCCACGAAATTCGAACCCTGGAACTCCCGAGCTTAGTGCAATTTCATTAACATCTATTGCCTTCTATTAAATAAAACACTTTAACGATTTAAAATGCTAAATATATTAGTTACCTATTTGAAAATTGTTTTAAGTACGGACAGTCGATTCGGATGCTTTGCAGCAGCCGTGATCACGGGGAGACAACAAAACGTCGGGCCGTAGTTAAATATTATTTTTCAAATAAGTTTAACCTATATATGTCGTGTTTTAATGCGTCAAATTGTTTTATTTAAATGTGTACTACTCGCGTAAGCTACAGACAGTATTGTCTTTTTGCTGAAGTACCTTCCTCCCCCTATGTATCGTACTCACCCCACCGCCCTCTCCTCACTCCTGTTTTTTATAAAAATAGCTTAGGTTGTTAGTAAATGACGGAATCCACATTTAAAAGATAAACTTTTAGTGTTACTTCCTCTTTAATCATGTACGGTACAGAAATAATATCTTCCTGAATTACTTATGAGAATATCGTTTCGTGTAAGAAGTAATTGGTAGGAAGGAATCTTCAATTCCGGAATTGAGACATCCGACTTGGCTTACGTTTATTAGTGACTAAGGTTTCATTTGGGACGGTTTATGCAAAAGTTCGCCATCACGGAGATGAGAAAGAATCTAGTGGAGTTCTTATGGCGGTCGTGCTTAATGAAAGGAGCTCTTTTTTCGACATTCACATTTACGGCCATATTTAGACATCACTGTAGATCATTAATGGCAACTGGATATCAGTCGTTTTCGTGGGATATTCAAATAAACAAAATATATTTGCAATTTTTGTTTAAGATAACTAATCGCGAAGATCACAGGGTCATACTTTACCAAGTTTCTATTTATAATTTGTGATAGCATTGTCTACATTCAGACTACAAAGAGCATCTTTGTAGGACATTAGGTAAATTAAATTCCTTAATTCAATACTTATAACTTTTAGTTACGACTTTACTTAAGTTTTATTTTAAGATTAGCCCCTGTTATAATAATATTATGGTAACGTTTGTCTTTTCAAGACGACACAAATGCAGTAATGACTAGACCAAAACTTATATCCCTTTGATTTAATGAGACGCGCTGCAAGCCTATATAAGCTTTGATTTCCGGCAATCCAATGAAACCGTTACGCGAACTTTTACATTATGTATTCCGGTCATCCATGTAATACAGATTTTCTTGAAATTGAGTCTTAAATAAAAATCAGATAATTATTTACAAACATACCTACATAACACGGTGGGCAACAAACCTACAACGTTTGTTTTTGATGCCTACCGATACATTTTCAACAACACTGGACCATCCTATTATTATCTCTTGGACAAAAAGTTAGATATGTACGTTTGCATATGCTTTTTATTTAGAACTGAAACCAAAAGACACAATTGTTGTAATATTTTCTAAAACGGATTCATTTAGCTCGAGCCGTACCTACGGAATTTGTTTATTTGGGTATACTAGAAATTGAAATTTATGCACACACATACATTTAATTTAGATGATAATACAATAAAATCAAAAACATTATAAATCTAAGATGGTCGTTGATACAAAATGACGGATTACATATTTTTCCTTAACCCACTCAATATGGGCATCAAACGAAAGGGCTAAAAACGATAAACAAAACGATAGTAAAACACGATGCGTATGTCAAAATTTTAATTGTTTGTAGTTTTCAGTGCACAAAAATAAGACCTTAAAGTTATTTACCGATTTTTATTTATTTTAATCTAAATTTCAGATACGTATAAATTAGGTATGTTTTTTTAGGTCAGTCATTCCAACGAAGCGCCTGCGCATTTTATTAAGCAGGAACAAAAGCATGCGACGGACATTATAACTTTTATGATAGAACTAGCTTTGCCAGCGACTTTGTCCGCGTAGAATATGTAGTTATTTTGGGCGTAAATTTGTTTTTACAAAAATCCCGTCGTTCTTGCAGGTTAATACGGTCGCGGACCTTTTTTTAAATCTTTTATAGAAGTTTTCGCAGCGAACGCAACAGAAACCCGGTTTCTCGGTGTTTCTTCCGTCATATTAATCGCGGCGTGATGTTTTATAACCTACAGCCTTCCTAGGTGCTATCCCTTTGCTTCAACTAAGACAAAAAAAAATCAATTCGAACCAGTAGTTTCTGAGATTACCGTGTTCAAACAAACATATCTACAAACTCATCTTTATAATATTAGTATAGATTTGAACCTGTCAGGCTACTATTATTCCTATACCACAGACGAATCAATGTTAAAAAGAAGACTTTCTTAGATATCATTTTATTACTGTTATTTCAGTTATGTGTCGGGTATATCCTTGCTGGGATTGCCAGCGGAAATGTACACATACGGAACCCAGCTGTGGGCAATAGTACTGTCGGAGTGGATTGTGTCTGTGACAATTGCTCTTGTCTACCTACCTGTGTTCTACAATTTACAGATTACATCAACATATGAGGTGAGTTTTATCGAAGTTGTAAAAAGCAAGAACTACTCGAGTTCGAGTCGGTAACGAATTGCTTTGTTGCGTGAAGGAAGAACAAACAAACGCTCGTTCCCAATTATAAGAATCTAAGCAATAACGAAGTCATATAAGTAGTGTCTTGTACTGGAACACTCTTAACGATAAAAACGCTAAAATTTATTCAGTAGTTAATTTATTTTCGCTACGACGGTTTTATGTAAAAATTCAGCAATGTTGCGGTTCAAATCCGTTAAAAATTATTTATTTACTAATAATGATTAACCTTTTTAGTATCTACGTCTCCGTTTTAATCAGAACGTCCGTCTGTTGGGATCGGTTATCTTCATCATAAAAATGATGCTTTATATACCAATAGTTATATATGTGCCAGCGTTAGCTTTCAATCAAGGTATTTATATGTTTACTACTAGATTCTCAAATAACCTAACAACAAGGGTAACTTACAAAGACTATCATCTAAGTCGACTTTTGTTCATTTTTTTAAAAACAAAACCACACAAAGTATTTTTAAGTTTATGTAGTCGTAGAAGGCATTGCCAGGAATTTATCCGATATTCTACACTTAGATCCACACTATATTGATATTTGTGTATATTTTCAGTCACTGGAATAAACCTACATTTGATTACACCAATTGTGTGCATTGTTTGCATCTTTTATACTACACTTGTAAGTATTTACACCGCTATTATCTGCTTTTTTCCCACAGCTGGGACTTAGTTCTCCTACGAGAAGGATGAGACCTTATTCTAACAGTGAGCAAATGCGTTAGACATATGTCGAACTAGCTCTGTCAGCGACTTTGCGTTTGCGTAGAATTTTTAGCATAACCATTTTTTTTGTAAACCTCCTCTTCATCTTTATAAATTTAAGTTCGCGACGTCGCTCGCGTCCCGTCGTTCTTGCAAGTTAATCTTAAAAGATAGACATATAGTCTCGCGGACATTTCTTTAAATAATTTAAAGAGGAATAATTTTTTTACATCGTTTTCGTAGCATTTAAACAAACAAATAAACTCTTTAGCTTCAAATATTAGTATAGATTATGCAGACCGTTGTATCAATATTTAAGTAAAACTAAGTAGAGCTACATCCATGTCACAGTGTCTTATATAACCAAGCTTGTGCCAAGTGTCAGATATTATACACTAAAGCGACAATGCCGTATTCTCCCCTCACAAGGACCAAGTGTATAAGGTCACTCTAATCAAATCTATACTTAGAATTGTCTCTACCTACGCGTATTGAGTGCTTATTGAATTTGATCGGATTTGATGATGCATAATACAATAAAACGCTCGTTGGTCTATGGTAGCACTGTATGGCTAACAATCAACGTTTTAAAGTTTTCTGAATAACAGAAATCTGGATATTAAATGATACCACCGTCCACGGATGTCAAAGCCGTTAAGTTTAATCGCATTTCGGTTTTAGTCTGTGGATTGTGAATGTCAAAAGCCCAGATAAGTCGACAGCTCTTGTTTAGACTATACAAGGCTAGGGTATGTAGTATGTAATATATATATAAGAAATATTGTAGTTCCTTGATTGTTTTTATGCTTATTTTTATCTTTAGCTCTCTCTGACTGTAACGTGCATAGGCACGTTATAGTTAGCAGGTTTGTGTTTTTAACCACTAACCAACCATTCGTTTGGTTTTATTTCTCGTGTAGATTTTTTATGATGAAGTTATATTATAATTTCCACAGGGAGGTATCAAAGCTGTTGTATGGACAGACACACTTCAGACTATCCTAATGTATTTTGGAGTTGTATTCGTGCTGGTTTACGGGACCTGTCGTTTAGGAGGCGTCGGGGAAGTCTTAAGGATCAACGAAGAAGGCGATCGCTTGGATTTCTTTAAGTAAGGTCATAAAAACAAGATATTCGAACAATTAAGAAAACATCTACGGATAGGATTTGAACCGGCATCCACAGCGTTCCGTGCTGTTGCTCTAATCAACCTATGATATGTAGGTGATGCATACACTTCTTGCGCAATGTAATTTAAAACTTAACACTTGCTTGAGTAAATCCGAAAGCAGTAATAAAATAAATCATTAGAGATTAAATTACCAAGTTTAATGTTCAATCTTAGTAATTCGAATTTATTAATGGTCCGAATGTCCAAAACAAAATTATAGTTTTAATCTAATAATTGAAAGGAAGAAAAAGAGGAACAAGTGACTTTAGTATAAAAATGATTTTTTATGTTCCCATCGTGAGTACAAGCTGGGACTAATTTCCCACTGTTGACCATGTGTTCGTCTTATAACTTGAACGGAGCAAAATTATACATAGGAAAATTTTTGATTAGGATAGGCTAGATTTAGTACCTTTAAATTTGGTTGCCTGGAACAGATCGCTGTTTAGCGATAGGGCCGCGCTATATTTATAAGCTCGTTTATTATTTTTTATTAATGTAAGCCATTCCTGTGGTGTTCGTAAATAATAAAGTTATATAAATAAAATAAGACGTTATAGTAGTATCTAAATGTATTTATCTCCAGCATGGACCCAGACCCCACCATTCGCCACACATTTTGGACCACCGTCGTTGGCAACTACTTCAGCTGGCTGGCTTCGTGTTCCGTTAACCAGGCAATGGTTCAGCGTTGTCTTGCCCTATCGTCGCTGAAGAGAGCACGCATGTACTATATATTTTAATCTGAATTACAATGATTTTGTAATTACTGTTTGTCAATATTTAAAACGGCCGGACTGATTTTGACGCAGATAATAAAAAACTATTTCTAAATAATAACACAGAGAGTACCAAAATTATATAGGGGAAATAAAAAATGTACACAGACAAACCTTCTTATTCCATCAGGGGATCGTGGGTACAAATGCCATCTAAGCAAACATGTTCCGACTTACGACACGTTCTGTTGCCCTGAGAACACGATACCTTAATTGGTTAGACCAACAGCCGGCCCGTGTCGTAATTTTTATTATAATCGATTACGTATGTCATAGAACTATCTTCATAATGGCGGCCGGCATTTATATCATCGTGTCCCTCTGCTGCTACACGGGTCTTGTAATCTACGCCACCTTCGCGTCCTGCGACCCCCTCAGCACTGGAGCGATTCGCAAGAGTGATCAGCTCCTGCCGTACTTCGTGATGACCATAACTGGGTCGGTGCCGGCGCTGCCCGGCATTTTTATGAGTGGGGTGTTCAGTGCTGCTCTAAGGTATATTCATTCATTTATCTCTTAAGTTGCGGAGACTGGGGCGAAAACTGAGTGGAATAAAAATAAACTAATATGATATGACGAACTAGCCGTGTCAGCGATTTGATCCGCGTGGAATAGTTATTTTTACCACCATAATTTGTTTTTGCACACCTCCCGATCTTTATAAGTTATAGCTGTTACCAACGATCTTGACATTGTCTGCGTCCCGTCGTTTTTGCAAGTTAATCTCAAAAGGGGTATCTTGAATCATTTTTACAACGGAAACCCTAAAAATGAATATTTTTCCCCATTTCTTTCACATTGTCCACTTTATCTTCGCTTCGGTTTATAGCGTAAAGCCTGTGTGAACCAATTCATGCTCCTATAAACTTCTTCTGGAAGGCAAAGTGCTGAAATGCGTTTTCGGTAAAATTATTGCGTTCTAGACGCTAATCAATAATAAAACTAATGTTGTGTTCGTATTTGCATTTGCACGCTGCGCTTACACCGACACTTACGTGACCATTATACTTCCCTACTGTGATTTATGACCGAACTAGAATAAATGTACAATACACAGAAATATGTCCCCACGCGTATTTGCTTTCCTTACTGTCCTTTCTGATATTTTTAAGCTGCTTTGAAGTATGCAACTCTGAGGATGTGAATAATAGAGCTTACTTAAACTTTACCATACATTTTGTAAATTCTCGCTAAGTACAATCTTACGACTCGAATGAAGTCGTCTACAAGAGTAATCTTATAAAATTCAATAACTACACATATATTTAAACCGTTATTTTTTTTTATTTTTTTATAAAAAATACTACTACACATATTAAGTAACTAAAACAGAAGGTGTCTTTGTCAAAACAGTCATTCTATATCAATGTTATTGAGATCGTAGGTTCGAGTCCTGACCGTTACAATTTGTTTTCATTTTTCAGCACTATGTCGACGGGTCTCAATTCAATGTGTGGTGTTATCTTTGAAGACCTCATTAGGCCAGCGTATAACAAGCCTATTTCTGAGAAAACCGCGAGTTTTATCATGAAAGTTATTGTAGTGATTATAGGTAAGAAGATTTCTTTTGTCTTTAATCAGTGTATCTTTAGAGTAAATTTTATTAGACTAAATTAATAAACATGCCCTTGCTACTTTAAAGTTTAAATTATTATCCTAGCATTCAAACCCAGGACCACGAAAACTGCAGAACATAAACATGTAAAATACACGTTGATGTACACTTTTTATAAATTTAGTCATTTAACTAAATTTGAACACTTAGTAAGAATAATATTATTAATTCACGTGTCTGTAGTTCATTTAGATAGATAAAATCAGTTTAAATTAGGGACGCCTATCTATCTATAGAAAACTGTGACCACAATAATTAATAGTAATTTTCGCGTTTTAAACGGGTAAAATAAAAAAAATACAATAATACATATTTTTTTATCTATAACACACCACAAAAGAACAACAAAACACTAAAGAAAAAATCTTACGCAACTGATAATAATTAAAAGGCGGCCGTATCCCTAATCAGCGATCTCTTCCAGGCAACCTAAAGTACAGAAGGAAAAAAATAGATAAAAGGCTTATTAAGTGGGTAGATAGATGTAAGGAATGATAAACAAAAAGCTAAGGTACATCGTAAAAGCATACACAGCAAGTAGGGGAGAATAGAACTAAATAATTTTCTTTGTTCTTAGGAGCAACCTGCGTAGCGCTTGTTTTTCTCGTAGAGCACATGGGCGCGCTCATTCAAGCCGGCAAGAGCCTTGCTGGAATCACCGCTGGCAGTCTGCTTGGACTCTTTACCATGGGACTCTTCATGCCATGGATAAACGCTACTGTAATATTCTACTAATCCCTACTGACTGTCTGTATATGTCAACCTGTCTGCTAATTACGTTTCGTTTACGATTAAACGGTGACTGGTAATTGGACGGTAACATAACATTGCTCAAAGAACAATGGCCAAATTTCTTTAGGTACTGGACCTGGCTAAAATGTTTTTTACGACAAGTATCAAATCATTAAGGGTTTGATTTACTTTCATGCATTAAATATCACCCTATACTAAAACATTATTTAAATTTGATGTTGTCCAAAATAGTTTTGAGGTTGGAATCAATAATTAAGTTTAATTACAGTTTTTTCAAATGGAGAACTGTGTACGTTCGTGAGTATATAAATTAAGAGCCCACTCCGTAGTTACCGCCGTTCGTGATTTACTGTTTGGAGACACAAGCACAAATATATAGATTACAAAAATATTATTAAAGGTATCGATATCTATTGAAAAATCAATGACAGGCGTGACTCGAAGCCAAGACAAAGCTACCCAACTATGCAGTGTGTCTTGAGTTCAAGTTCCATCTCATCCAATTTTTCTACTTGCTGCTTTAATTGCAATATGTTTTACAGGGTGCTCTAGCTGGTGGAACAACATCCACCCTGCTAGTGGGGTGGATTTCTCTCGGCACCCAGGCGGCCATGTTACGCGGCGATATTGTGGTCGTACCAAAACCAGTAAGCGTTGCCGGATGTCCACTAAACTACACTCTCCCAACCACCATGTCGCATTCTTCCGTCGAGTTTGACAGGTGACAGAAAACCTATCTATTAGCAAGTAAACTTTACAACTGTGCCCAAATGTCGATTGCTTCGATAAGGCGTTAAAATATACTCGGCTTGGCTCACATTATGATGATCTGCATTTAGAAGGTCCTAGGTTCATTTGTTTACTTTGAATCAGAGACAGATAAAAATTAAATCAGAATACGCAGAATTACGTTATGGACGTTAGATTTTTTTTCTTTTCAGATCAGGAACATTTTTCCTTTATAGAGTCAGTTATTTGTATTACACTTTTATTGGAATGACTGTCTGTATCGTCACTGGAGCAATTGTGTCGTATTTTACACAGCCGAACGACCCCGCAATGGTAAGTTACCTTACAAATCTAGGTAAAGTATAGGTTTTTCTCAGGTTAAAATTTTTCAGTTCATGACTATGGCGTGTATGCAACAGAATAACATGAATTATCTTACATTCAAACTTAAAATGATATGCAGTTGGCCCAATGCGGAATAGTTAGGACATTTTTAAATAGAGCTTTGACCACATTTTATCATTATAAGATCTAAAAAAATCTTTTACGACGGGACGCGACCAACGTCGCGTAACAGCTATATTTTATAAGAATGAGGAGGTTTGCAAGAGCTAATTTTTGATGACCAAAATAACTATTCCACGCAGACGAAGTCGTTGACACAACTAGTGCTTATATGTAGGTTACATATTGTAGGCTAAGTACTACTTAGAACTAACTTTTTGCGTAGATGTTTTTATTCATCATTTATAGGCACAAAGAAGTGAATAAAATAACTAGGAATATGTAATAAATGTGTGTAAGTGAAATAAGTATTTGTATTGTAAGGTTCATAGAGACCTCTTGACACCGGTCATTCACCGTTTTCTGCCACCACAAAGCCCCAATTGCAGACGGCCAAGGTTGACACAACACGACATCGAACTCCATGCCCGGGAGATGGAGCAACTATGCACGCAAGCAGCCTTGATGGTCAGTTACCTAACCTAAAAACGTTGGTTTGAAATAGTTCGTAAATTGAAGCCAAAGTCAATTCTAAAAATAATAAGTAATATTTAAAATAACAACTGTATAGTTTCAATAAAACACTTTAACGGTTTAAGACGCGATATATTAGTTAAACTTATTTGAAATTGATTTTTAACTTCGGCCCGACGTTTCGGATGCTTTGCAGCAGCCGTGGTCACGGGGAGACTAAAGATGGAGGATGTCTCTGACTTTAAAGTAAAAAACCGTTAAAGTGTTTTATTTAAATGCGTACTACTCACGTAAACTATAGCAGTATTTAACTGTATAGTTGTAATTTTTTAGGAGTGATTCTTATCAAATTTTCTATATTTTCAACATCATTCTCAATTCTCATTTTTCGCAATCATTTCTCTAACAAGAAAAACCTATAAATAGCACCGTGTGTAGTAAAAAAAGAAAAATATTCGAGATTATTTTGTTAAGTCCTGGGTTTTTATCTCGAGGAAGAAAAACAGGCATGTCACCTTAAACGAACTTTCGCCTTACACCATTATTCATTTCATTACAGAGAGACAACCCTGTGGACGTCGATCATATAACCAAGAAATCAAAACAAGCGCTGCAATGACCATTTCAGCTTCTGACATTCCACTAAACTATCCTAGACTCTTGCTGTGTAGTTATTGAATGATATTATAGTGATCAAAGGTGAATGCCCACGTAGAGACCATAAACCTAAAAATGTTTGTATTATAGTAAGCTTGTATTTTGTATAACTGCTGTGAAAAGATTATACGTAAGTAAAAATAGAAAAACAGCATTGGTGTTGTCATTTGAAATGTTTGAGAAATTAAAGTTATTAACATTTATTAATCAATTAAATTGTATAAAGCTATATATAATTTTTAAAGGCTTACTCTATACATTTCGGTATTTTTTTTTGGAAAAGAGATATGCCGTTTGACAGTCGATAGATTTCAAAGCTATGCTGTACCAAATACTATATTAGTTCGTTTTAGTATAGAAATAAGTAATCAATCACGTTCATTTTCAACAGCTATACGATCGTTTGACTGCATATGACCAAAATAGAAATTTCGAGGACTTGCCACCAGTGTTTAGCCAGGCACAACGTCCCGAAAGTAAGCGGGACCTATCGACCGACAGTGTACAATAAAATAGCTTTGGAAATATATCTATACCTTTATTTACTAATAAAATCTGTTACAATAAGAAAACTCTTACTTTATTTACAATATTGAAAAATATTGATATCACAATGCAAAATGGAAGAACTTCCAGGTGAATAAAAAGATACCATTATTATGTGGCGTTTTAGTGAAAGGTAATCTTTGAATATGTTATTAAATATAAAATATTGCCTTATTAAAAAGCCAACGATAACATCCCTTAACTTAAATTATCCTTAAAAGAATTATAATGAGATTCGAAGGAAATTCCTCAAATTCTTTTGCGAAATGCACCGAGATATTATTCGTTTCATAATATATTTTAAAGATCATAAATACAATTAGCCATTTATTATTTATAGCGTTAATAATATAATAGGAAAACAATAAATCATATTTACGATGCGATCAAAATAAGAGAGCAACAAATATTTTTATTGGAAAACGTTTTGTATATTTAAATACTTGTAATGTTTAGGAGAGATTACGAGTTTTAATACATACATAACGACTTCTAACTAGCTGTGTTTTAATTATTTTTCCACGCTTCGTAAATATTTGAACTATAAAAACAAAATATGGGTCTTATGGGACCTTGAAAATTTGCTGAGAGAATTTAGACATTAATAAAATTAAAAAGTAAAGTTCTTATTTCAATCGCATTACTCACAAAATATTGTTCATGCTACCCGGGATAAATTAAATACAAACTTCTAACGAAACAAGCCGGATATGCAAATTTTATTCAATTAGTAAATGTGTAGCGGATTGTGATTTCAGCACCAAGTGGAGATGACGTCTAAAGAAATCGCTTACAGTCCTTGCTCTCGATGGTAGGGTTGGCAACTTTGAAATGGGTGAGTGAGTGAATCATATGTATGATTTCAATATTGTATTCTTTAAACTAATATGTATATGAAGCTTAGACTAGATTGAACTCTTGTCTATGTAAGTTTAGTCTATTATTTTTATTCTATCCTCTATATGCCCGGAAATAATAATTGATGCAAATATTTTACCGCTAACAGATATTTCCTCTATGAGAATATTAGTATTGCTTTGGCAGAAAAACGCGATTCTTTATAGATTTACGTTACTACTAGGTGTATGATATGAGTATGTAATAAAAATTGCATTAGATTTTAAAGTTGACAACCCTATCCATCGAACACTTCACTAATCCACTGTTCACGGTTAAGACTTTAGCTCACTTCTCCTGCAAGTGCGCACGTTCACGGGGAAGAACACGTTCAGCTCGATCAGGGTTGCCAGCACGAGAAACATTGCGTACATTCCGAGGCACGCCCTGCCGACCGCCGCGTCCAACTTGAATTTGTTGAACCAGAACGTCAAATACAACAACAGGAGAGTTGACAGCAGCGATATAGCGGAATACTCCAGCCCCATTGAGTTTATCTTCACCTAACAACATAGTTGATTATTATTAAATAGTATTCTAGAAGAACGAGTGAAACGTTAAAGCATTGCAGTTTTTTATAATACACAGTACGCAATATCTTCGTCAGATTTACACGCATAGAATAAGATGAATGGAAAGAGGTGAACATTTCAAAAATACAAATACTACGGCATAAAATGATAATTATTATCAAGTTTTGGGGAAATTAATATAGTCTGTAAGGATTCTTTATTATTTTAAAAGTATGTAAATATTATGTAAGCATTACCTAAAGATTAGAATTCGATCTGATTACTACGAGAGACTACCACTATACTATAGTCTATAGGGATAAAAATATTCGCTACAGCTTAGCTTAAAAAATACATTGACAATGTTTAAAAAGCAGTTAAAATAAATCGCTTAGCAATAAAAATTAACTCTTATTATGAACATCTCACAATCTTATGATATAAACAATAATTTTATACAAATTTGTTGTTCTTTTGGAGAGACTTTCTAGTTGATGTCCCGAATATAATAAGTCGAAAAGTAAATAATTATTGACAGATATTCATAATTGGAGGTGGGCCCGAATTTGCATTGCACAAAATAATCGCCAAGCAGTGTTGCACGGAATAATAAATATTATTTATATTACGCTAAAATTTGTTATTCTTTAAATATTGTATGTTTAAATCAAAGACCAACATCAGAGTTCAACTCTTTGTCTGTTATCATAAATGCACCTTCCCTTTTCACTTCATCTATCTTATCGAATAAATATCAAGCATGTATGGTTATCGCCTAAAATACAGATCTAACCCAATAGTTCCCTGGTTCGGCTGGAGTGAGAGACGCTTTGATCAGCCACGGGAGGCCCAGGCAGAGAAGAATGTCGAACGTATTCGATCCAATCGAGTTACTGATTCCCATTGATCCGTGACCTTGAAAAGTAAGAAATCCATGTATTAATATTTGTACAGACAAGCAATGAATTCACCCTCTATTGAATTTTATTTTTATCATAAATGACATCTAGAACCAATATATTTACTAATATTTTCGAAATTATGTAAGTTTTATAATTAATAAAACCTTGTTTAGCCACTATAACGCTGGACACTGCTTCAGGCACTGAAGTACCGGCAGCGAGGAATGTGATACCCATCACAGAATCTGGTATCATCAGGGTGTCTCCTACAAACAGAAATATCGTGTAATTATTTTAATACAAGATGCTAAATGTAGATATAAGGTATGTCTTATATATGTAGCCAGTAATTTTCTTCAGAATCCGTTATGTCGTATTTAAGACACCCTTGGAGCCATAATAGATATTTAAAACTGAGTTTTGTAATACTTATATTGCGTACCAATAATTGTAATCATCCAAGCTACAATATATGATAGGGAACCAATCCATACAATGCACATAAGGAAAGTAAGTGGAAACCAATTCTTGAATCTAGGTTTCTCGCAGTCCGGTATAGTAAAGAGGAACACCAGGTGAATGGGCCAGGTTATGATCCAGGTTGCCTGAAAAATACAGTAACGTTATGCTTCTATTGTAGGATTAACGACACAGTAACTACTAATATACCATTACACACTATTATATCATAATATTTCTTATATCTAGACAGATTTACACTATTCACATACACGTTAACACTGACTGAATCTATAATTTGAGCTTAGATCAAAAAGCACCTTCAGCGTTGGTTATTTGGTTCAAGCCGAAGATAAGGAGACTTCAAACTTTGAAACCATGACAAACTTGAATGGAAGAAGTACCTTGTACGTTAATTAATGTTAATATAGTAATTTATTGGTGTCCCTTTATATCTGCTTCTGTGGACGAGTTGCAAAGCATTGCGTTTAGTGCAAGTTTAGTCGAATCCGGAGAAAAACTATCATTGCTAGTGTGTATCATTCAACTCACTTAGGGGAAGTAAGATTCTTTTTTATACTTTATATCATCCTCTTACACATATAACACCTGTATCAAGGCTATTAACAATTATTGTGAGAAGTTGTACTATATTACTGCACTATCTTTCAAGAACCTTTTGTTCGTATATTCTGACGAAATACCTTCGTCAGTTGACTCCGTCCAGCCGGCCACTTCCAAAGCGAGTGTTCATTTACCGCTTCCTTATTAGTGTCAGCATTTTGATTATCATCTGAGTGAACAATTTCCATATCACCGACATTAACGTTTACATCCTCTAACTTTTCCTCTTTGTTCGCTTTTATCTTATCACCCTTTATGTTTCCGTTGTGTTGGTGATGCTCGGTCTCTGATCTACTACCAGCCTGTGATTTAGCACCTATAAAAAATTAAAAGGAATGCTTTTAACAGTTTAAAATGGGAAAAATATAAGTAATAATTCTTAACGACAGCAATTTTAGTAATTAAAGAAGCCAGTAGAGTAGACAATTTTTAATAAAAAGCAGTTTATGTTCCTTCGAGGATTTTTTGTGTATATATTCTTTTAGTCGATTTCGGGACTCGAACCCATACAAAGTCATTGCGGTACAATTGAACTACGTAACTATGTAGAGTGTAGACGGACCTATTTCTACTTGAGGGCTGTCTTCTTTTTCTTCGTCTGTTTTAATCATATTTGATACACATTTCCAACTACCTGCAATTAGGGACAAATATTAACAATTTGTAGGGCCCCTTTTTAGGTTAAGGAAGTAACGAAGTACAGCTTCCATGGTATGTAATAAAAGTAAGTTAATGTATATTTCTGGATTTGGCTCAAACTAAACTTGCCACGTCGTACTGAATCCCATAACTTAAAATATTACATTAACTTAAAAGCATCTTAAAACAAAGCAAAAACTGAATAAACAACTTCATTTATATGTATGAAAAGCAAATTTTCTCTTCAAAACCAGCCTTTATCTAAACACCTTATGTAAACTAGTCGAATAATTACAATTTAATTGAATTGAATTAATGACAGATAAGCACAATGTATGTAATTGAATCAGTATGTGTTATTAGCAAAAATGTTTAAGCGTGTACAAGTGATAAACAATTCACCATGGGGGCAAAATATTGCAACTTACGTTTAGCGAAATTCTGTATGGATTTGTCATAATACATAATACATATATAGACTCCATATAGAAGAACCAGCAGGAATGCTTCGTACCACATCACGTATTCGTCATGCATGATACAAATAAGTATTGACACTGTTATCCCATATGCTAGACAGTCCCTGGTCAACGGCCACCAGTCTAAGGGTACTACCTGTGAAAACAATTTATCATTATCATCAGCGCTTCGATAGGCTTCGTGCCTTCGAGTATACGCCAAAGACCATTCAGAGAACTTAATATTAACACATGTCAAAGATCACGTCATTGTTTTAACACTTTCTAGAATAAGGAACATATCGACAAATGGAAACGTCGGAGAGAGGTGTTGTCTTGTTCTGGAGGCTAAGACCTAAGAGGGTGTACTTTAGCAATAAGTAGAAAAAAAAAATAAAAATAAAGTTACCATTCCCGCCCCTATACCGCAACACGCAGCAACAGCGAGAATATTAAATACGGCGGAACCGACGATTGTCCCTACTCCGATGTCACCTAAAAAAATGTAAAAAAGTTTTATTTCCGAATTAAAAAAACAATTTAATGTCTGCATTGTGATGATTATGATCTGTTTATAAAAATTATAGTGATTTAAATTTGTTAGGAAAGAATTTCGTTACAAAAGTCTGATCTAGGAGGTGCTAGGATAAATAAAAAAATGGTCAAGGAGATGTGTTTATCCACGTATGAGCTAACTAAAGTCCTAAGGTCACTGATCGGTTACTGCAGATCAAGTTGTGAGAGGAACTAATAAATATGTCTTCCTACATACTGGAACTTATAGATCCATCATAATGATTAATTATGTGTACATGAAACCCACCTTCGGTAATAAATGTTCCTATAACGTTAACGAATAATTCTGGCGCGGAAGTCGCTGCTGCCATAAACGTCGCCCCAGCTACATCATTGGTCATGTTTAGAGCTAAAAAAACGCAAATCGAAATAACATTTATTCTTTGCTGAAATGTCCCTACGAGTATTAGATATAGTTGAAGGAGGAACACCTGTCACGGTACAAATACTAGCAGTAAATGTTAATATAGAGATTACATCACTTGATGTTCGAAACTTACCAGTACATATTCGATCGACGGCCGGCACAAAGAACTTGTCACACACTACAGCAAGAGCTAAGAACAGGTAAATGGAAATGAGGGCGTGCAGAACGATGGCTCCATGCTGCCTCTGTAGCTCAGTGAACAGCCCCGAGGGAAAGTCGTCTATGGCCGGCGGTGTGCAGTTGCGAGTGTAGCCCTCTGGAAGCAAACAAACATACCAAACAATTAAGCAAGTACGTTATACCAACCGAGAAACAAATTTGTCATCTGCCGACACGGGGTGGTAGATTAATAGATGTTAAGCAGAGTAGTATTTTGGAAAGTCGGGGTCTTAGCCGACCTTATAATACGAAAAATAGTTATAAATTTTGAAGTGTCTTGTCCGTATATTCCGCAACTGCGTTATTTGCCGTCGTTTTTCAAGTGAGAGTTTTATTCAATCCAGGAGTGTTCGTATTGGTGCTATATTGTGGATGAAAAGCTAAGGTCTATTTGCATACTTTTCACTATTTGGGTATTTGAGTTGTTTGTCGTCGCTCCAGAAGGTGTCATCCATTCGTGGTGGGAAATTCAAATTTTAAATAATATATTTTGGTAGATTTATTCTTTGCATAACGAACTAAAGTTAACTATAGAAAAATATAGCATGGGACAATTGTGAAGTCATAGAACAATAAATTGCATAAAACGCTATCGTTATCAAACATACGTAACGCGTAAAAGCAATCGTGATGCGCACGCACAGTAACCGTCACGTTCATTAACATAATGTATTCCCTATTAACAAAAACGCGAGAACATTTACCAGGAAAAGAGTTAAATCACTTGAATCATGCAGAGTTTAATGGGGTTTATATACGAGCGTTTGAAATGCCTTCTTTAGTGCATTCTCTTACACTATAAAACAACTATAATAATAATAATAATAATTTATTTGTCAGAACATAAATCCATACATTAATTTAAAATAATTAATTAATTCTAATGTGCATTAGTTGGGTTGGTGTGTAACTACGTACAATCCTATGAAATAGCTAATTTCCGAACCTTTGACTAAATTTAGGTTTGTTTGTAAAAATCAAAATATTTTGTGATTATTACAGGAGCCTACGCGTTGTCATCATTGAAAATATGTTCGTGTTTCTGCGTGTATGTTTTAGCGGTAACAGAAAAAATACAAAGAAATACATAGTTAGAAAAAAGCCTGGTAAGCAGCGAAGCCTAGTTATATACAAAAACCTTTGACCAGAATTAGAACGTGTTGTGTTATTCCTATCGCAAACTGTAAATAGTATCATTCTATATGTGACTACAACACTTTATATAATTTTCCTCACTAATGCAATTATAAGCGGGTGAATTAAATATATAAAGTGTTGCTACAAAGTATGGTAGTACTTAATGTTGAGATTGCTTTGAAATCCAAACTAGCCTTCACAGAACAATAGTGTGATACTTCTAAAACTTGAAGTGCTACTACACTAGGAAATAGTCTACAAAATAAGATTTGTATTAATATATATGCGATATGAATCCAGTACGTTTCTTACTCATTTTCATTTTTTTCTTTAATAGTTGTTTTTACAACTTTAACAAGATGCTAGCATTCAAAATGTTTTTATTTTTGTGTATTTGGTCCCAAGACAACTAGTACTAACGTGTATAACGTAATTCGAATTTTGGACCGAGTGAAGCCCGTGCTTGTGTCTTCCCAGTCATGTAATAACGACTCTATGCTTATTGAAGCGGAATAGATCATTAAAAAAAATTACAATCGCTAATTGTTACGGAACATTTTGGTTCAAATTTCAACCAAAATTATGCGAGGATGTAGTGGTCTAAGTGCTAGTTGAAGAGCAGACGTATTTGATAGAAGGTATTTTTAATTTACTGAGTGTCGCACACACCTATATACACTAGTTCTCACTCCTCTTTCTCCGCTTTCTGCTCTTCTAGCCATTAATAACCTCTCTTAGGCCTCATCAAGGAGGCGGTACAAACCCGTTATGAACAACAAATAATACTCCGAACGTATCAAGCTGAACCATTTCTAGAAAGGTACATTGCTCGGTATCGCCGACTAATGCGAACTTCCGGTCCTTTGATCAGCCAATTTCAATGCATGTGCCAACGAGCCGAGCAACGCACCGTTGACGTATTTGCCTTGATCATATTATCCCTTCGCTTGGTACTCGCACGATGCTGGGAATTCTTATTCAGCTTCTATCAGTTCCCACCGCTGGGCATCGGGGCTAATATAACCGCCATGCCTCGACGCTCGCGCTCTGCAAATGAACACTTTATTATGTGAATTATGTATGTGTGTGTGATGATCTACCCGTACCGTTATCTAGAAATCTTGATGTTTATAATATTTGTTGACATGCAAGCATCCTCACTAACTTTCGAATCTGTACTAGAGTCACTAAAACCGTTTCGCTAAAATAATAATTTAATTAGCTTATTACATACTGTCTGTATTTAAATAAACCGCTTTAACCGTTTAAAACGCGATATATTTTTTAGTTAAACTTGTTTGAAAATTATTTTTAACCACGGCCCGACGTTTCGGATGCTTTGCAGCAGCCGTGGTCCACTCACGACTCACTAGCCTTTTTCACTCAGAGAATATATTATGTTACTTGGGTTTGACGTGACGGTAAAACACAAACCATACAAAAAGATAAAGTTTGGTTGTTGGAACGGGCTAATCTCAGAAAATACTTCGTTCGAGATTCGTATTTAAAAAATATTTTTGTGTTAGTTGGACCATTTATCGCGAAAGGCTCTGTTAGACCCAAAGAATCGGAGAAACATAGGGAAATCAAAAATAAAACAAGAGCTTTCCCTGCTTGCTGCAAACGGTTCAAGATACCAAAAAAATATGTATAAAGAATAATTCTTCTTAATACATAAACGATCTAATAAAATATCCGGATCCGGGAATTAGGGTGCGATGGTTGTTTGCAAAAATAAATAAAATGATACCTAAAATTACTATCCCACACCGACGAAGTCGCATCGCGTACAGCTAATAAAATAATAATTAAAACACGGGTAATGGTAACTCTATTTCAGTGATCGAGGACTCGCCAAGGAACGTTAAACTGATGGGCACTGCTCAAGTGAATTGAATCTGTGATGATAACCACAATGTTCTCTGAGGCTGTTGGTAGATGATGATTATTTACTTTCGAATTGCGGGTTTGAGCTAGATTTTAAACATCGTGTTCGGCTTAACATCTTGTCTCACCTGGATTCGGACCCAGAACCCAATAATCTGTGAGTCGGCTGTTGAAAACTAAACTTATCGTTTAAAGGAACGTGGGTAACAGAGGGCGCCAGTTGATGTTATGTAGAGATAAAATGTAACTGCATCAAGTAATAGTGCTAAAATGAATGCGCGTTGGTAATGAGACAAGTCGCCCACAAATGTGTTTTACTAGGATGAAATTACACTGCACATGACTCAGGGTTCAAGAAGTGGGAAATCTTGAAGTCCCTCTTTTGGTACTTATTTATTAATAAGATTTTTACCGCACAAAAAGGTTTAAGAATCATATTATGTATCCTCGTATTTTTAGGTAAGGTTAGGTCTCCTTCATCTTATTTACCTTTTTAGGCACTTGCTAAAAAAGTAAATAAAATGAATTCTCATTAATTCTATTTTTTTACTTGAGATTATGTGAACGACGAGTGATCGAAACAAAAAGTTAATATCTAAAGGCAAAATAGGGCGACAAACTAATCTGGCTTTGGATATTTGAAAATCCACAGACTAAAACCGAAACGCGATTGAGTTTCGCGGTTTTTTTATCTGTAGACCGTGTGGTTCGTTACGGCCCGATGATTATTAGCCATACAATGCAATCATATATAGGCAAAAATAAAGACCACAAATAAAAATATTTTAATAATGTACTTTGAAGATGAGATTATTGTAGTTTTTAAAGACGGCACTGAATACGTAAGTATACTTTTGAGCTGGTTTGTAGACAAATTTTCGATATTCTTACCTACCTACAAAATGGGTTAAATTAATGTTTAAAAAAATAATGATTGAAAAAATATAAAAACACGATCAAGAGTAAGCTAAAAAAATGTTATTTGAAAATTCAAGATAGAGCGATAACTATTTTTCAAAATTTTTAATGAACCTAGAGTTATTAGAACAAATAAAAAAAACTCAAAAGTCCAATCTGTTTTAAAATAACGGACAGTTAGTCGTGTTATTTTTAGTTACTTATATAAAATAGAAGTTCTGGACAAGAACTCGGATTTTTGCACATAGCATAACACAAAAATAAATAATTTTGCGTTTTGCATAAAAATTAACAATCACTTCTACAAATTTTCGTAAACTATAATGTCTTGGAGGAGACGCATTTCTGTGTCTTTATCGCTTATATCTACAGTATGGTAGATGTATGTAGAAATTGCTTCAAGCAACGGAGGCTACGACTTTTCCCCGAGAATTGAACGATGGACCTCTTGCGCTTAATATGACATGAACGAGGACAGAAAGGTTCCTCAGCGAACTCGGCCGATTTCATTTTGGGCTCACATCGGTCACGTGCCTACAACCTTGTGAGCTCTGCTTGAATCGCGACAATTGTCAATTGTATAACCGGATGAATACAAGATGGCGCGTCCCCCCCACCCCTCCGTGCGTCCCTTGCTTCGTTTGTGGCAACTGGCGACTCGAAGGAAAAATTCTGCCCGTCTTATATAAATACGAAAATCTAAGATACATGGATTAATATTGTACTATTCGAATTACTAATTTAATGTCCATAACAACATTCGTAAAGACATTGTATATATTAGAACCGATTTTTTGTTTTTTTTTTTTATATATAAATAAACTCGTGAATTGCACTTTAATAATTAATAATAATGTTAACGGTTACATGTGTATCTGTGAATAATGTTCTCGATTTTCAGTATCGTTCTACGTATAAAGAATGAAGAAAAAAATAAGTTTCGGTAACATTTTTCAAATACTGATGGTTCTTTAGCTGTCAAATTACTTACTATATCACTCTTCAAGTTACCAATACATTTTAACATTGTATTCATAAAGATATAGTCATTGCCTTTATACAGTAATAAATTTAGATAGAAGTGACCCACTCTGGTTTATGTTCTTCAATCGATTCCATGATTCCATTGTAAAATATTTCTCTCAATGTTTGGCTTATTTGTAGTATTAATTTTAGTCTAATAATTTCAAATATTACGTACGATAAAAATGTTGATTTAATAATTGCCAAAGTTAAATTGCTTAATATTGAAATTATGGACTTAAATAATAATTTTTCAAGTATGCGGTTGGAATTGCAGGATATTATTTACGTTTAAATTTTAAAAACCATTGATATCTACCTTTGTTACCATTTTGTATATGTAGTACTACGTCTATGTGTTTATCTACGTAAGTTAAGTAAGATAAGTACGTCTGAATTATTATAATTTTCACACTTTAAAGCGGCGTGCTTTCACTCAATAGATCCTTTGGTTAGCTGTTGATCGTGGTCTCGGGTCCGAGCCGTGTTATATTTTCTACTTTTGTATATCTATATGTATACGATATCTAAATAAATAAGATTATAGCAGAAACAGTTTTCTTCAGAAACAATGACGGTTCCTTCCAGCAACAAAATACGCGTTCGATAATATATACCCATTTAGCGTAATTTACATGATACAATATATTACCATAATTCGATATCAGTATATAAATGAACACAAACACATATTCAGCTGA